TTTTCTAATAAGTGTATTGTAAATGAAAAAGCATTTTAAATTTCAATTTTGATATTAGTTCACTTACTATCGCTTCGCTGACGGTAAAGCCATTGAAGCAATAGTTATTCAACTAATAAATAATATAAAAAAATCTGCTTCATAACAGTTTTAAAAGCAATATTTGCGGATGATTTGTTTAATTGAGGGAAACAGTTATCTTTGCAGCGGGAAAATTTTCCTTTGTATATTTTAAACTCAAATACGAGACAATTTTAAGAATTGACTTTGAAATATGTATGCAGTGGAAGAAGAACACACACACACACACACACACACACACACACACACACACACACACATATATATATATATATATATATATATATATATATATATATAAATTACATGCGGTCTTCATCATGTCTATATCAGTCCGGACAGTAGTGAGTATGAAAAATAATGTAAATAGTGATAACTCCTCATACAAAAAATTCTTACATAAAATATATATCGACATATATATTTATGGCTGTGCGTGTATGTGTAGTGTGTGTGTGTGTGTGTGTGTATGATCGCGCACGCGCTGTAAAAATTGTCCCGTTTAGTTCGGAGAATACGCAGTTTTTAGATTAATTACTCAGAAAATTCTTCCCTTTTTGTCATTTACTTACCAACTATTTGTCTGATATATATATATATATATATATATATATATATATATATATATATATATATATATATTGATAATTTTCCTTTATAGATATATATATATATATTTTGATTTATATGGATAATTTTCCTCTCTCTCTCTCTCACTCTCTCTCTCACTCACTATATATATATATATATATATATATATATATATATATATATATGTGTGTGTGTGTGTGTGTGTCTTCTTTTACATGAATAATTTTCCTATTGTTTATATATCCATCTATGTATATATATATATATATATTGAGAATATTTCTAAATTTAAGAACGCTGAAAAATATTATTCAGGATAACTGTGAAAGTCAACGTAAATTATAAGCAATGCTAAATGAGGTAGTTTAACGCCTAACATTTGTAAGTGATTAAATGTTTTTTATGCTAGTTGTTGAATTTTTAAAGATAATTATGACTTTTTTTTATCTTATTATGAAAAATTAACTTGTATATTTATTTTAAATAATTCATTGTTTTGATTGAACAGATTTCTTAATATTTTTATGCCCATGTATTTTGGATTTGGTAATATATATATATATATATATATATATATATATATATATATATATAATATAAAAATAAAAAGGCCATAGATTTCGACACCCAGTGACCACAGTTTGTTTCATGCTTGCCCGGAATAGTCAGGACGACATACTTGCATATAAGCATGAAGCAAACTGTCGCATCTGGGTGTTGATTCCAATAACCACTTTTATATTGACATACATGCTATCCCTGATTTTTGCGCACTTTAATCCATATATATAGCATAGAAGTATATTCTATTATATACATATATATATATATATATATATATATATATATATATATATATATATATATATATACACACATACATACATACATACATACATATATATATATATATATATATATATATATATATAGAGAGAGAGAGAGAGATAGAGAGAGAGAGAAAAACTGGGGTTAATAAATCAGTGCTCAATCTAATAAAAAAGATCTGTTAAGTATATATTAAAAAAATATACATGTTATCCCTTACCAATAGTACGACTAGCAGTTTCATGGTGCTGATTATAGACTGGTTACCGCATTGTTGACGCAATTATATATTATACAATGATTACGGTTTTTTAATTTAAAAATTATGTTTGCCATTTAAAATGTTCGGGATTGTATATGTATGTAAATAAAAATATTATTTTAACCTTTTGCATATTATTTTTTTTAATTTTTATATTAAAGGGAAGTTAGTTGTTTTTTTTTACACAAAAAAATCCAAAAAAATACGCAATTTACATGAAATATTATTGAAGCATTTTTACGTGTACCTTTTACAATCACTTCATTTTACTTGTTTAATCAGCCAGTGTTATTTAAATGTTTTAAGATAATCATTTTTTTCAGGGAGATATAGGTTACACCTATTTCCTTTCCCGTTATAAGATTTGTCTCTTGTTACAATATCCCAGTTGATAAATGGTGTATTATCATCATTCTTTAATTTCCAGAAATAATTAGCAAAATTAGTAGTGTTTTTGTATTTTATATTACCTAAATTCATTCGATGATGGTAGAAACAAAATTTCGAAAGATATATAAGACAGGTGGTTAGAACGTTCGCATTCTGCCTATGAGACTGACCATGGTCGATCTGTCAGGAAGGAGACTTCCTGATGGTATCGGACTGGATGGTTTGGTCTCAGCTTGCGGCACCTTTGCAAAGTGCTTGAGAACCATGCCACGGGTTGACCCACGGCTTGTGAGTGAAATTGGGTAGACAGAACCGTTGGGAGTCATCAATAAATGTGCTAGCACGAAGTCACCAAGTCGTCGTGGCCGAGGTTTTTAGCGTGCTGGTCATGTTCTAATTGTTGTTCAGGCTAGATAACACGCTCTTTCCCTGAGACTGTAACTAAGGTCTGCTCAGCACAGTTGCAGTATAAACCACAGCGGAGGGAGGGGGGCTCTGCGGGTTTTGAATAAACACAAGAGCGCCTGAGCAAGCGTCTGCAATAGGGATTGGCTAGCCGCACTAGTAGACGGGTATCCTCGAATACGAGTGGCTAGCTATGTGTGTGTGTGTGTGTGTGTGTGTGTGTGTGTGTGTGTGTGTGTGTGTGTGTGTGCGTGTGTGCGCGCGTGTGTGTGTGTGTGTGTGTGTGTGTGTGTGTGTGCGTGTGTGTGTTGACTTCTTTTATATTTTGCGGTGAAATCATTGTAAAATAAACAAACACGATAAAGACATGTTTTCCATAAAAAAAAAAAAAAAAAAAAACTATTTCCGCCAAACTTCTTAGAATTTATTCTTTTGGATTTTCACTTTTGCTCTTTGTATTTACTTTTTTTTCAAATCTGGTTTCTTTCTGACTTCATTTTTAGCCTTTACTGTTAAAACATTTTCTTTTCATGACTTCACGCTCGAAAATTTTATTCAAATAATTTTCCATCTCGAGATTGCCATTGTTTCCGTTTTCGCTTTTCTGAATCTGTTTTTTAATTCTTCACCGTTTTTGAGGTTCAACCAAGGACTTCTAAAAAAAACAAAAACATACACACATGCAAAAACGCATCTTAAATAATTTAGATATATTCTTTGAAGTCAAAATTGGGTTTAATTTGAAGGATTATCTGTATGAAATTAAAAATTAATGTCTTTATGTAAATAGAGATATTAGGCATTATTTAATCATTCGCACGTTCACTCGTCACTCATCTCCTCATTGGGTTGCCATTATAAACAATAAATTCAAACAACAAATTTAAACATCTCTTAAAAATGTTGTCGTTGTTCTAGAGATGTGTTTCAAATTAAATTAGATTTATAAGAACTAATTTAATAATAACAAATTTAAGGATTAATAATAAAATTTTATAAGGATATAATTTAAGAAGTAATTAATGGGATTATGCAAAAGTAATGCTTATTTTGTGTTTAAAACATAATAGAATAACGCCAGTGTGATGTCACCTTCAAAGGATACAACAATAATTTTCTACTGTAATCTCTGACTCTTAACAAGCGCGCGAAAAATTAAAATAACATTTAATAAATATAGAACATCAGCAGTGAAATAATAAAGAAATTGTTATTTATGTTTAAAATAAATTGTATTTAAATTTATATAACCAATAGAGAAGAATATATTTTATAAGGTTTTATGAAACGTAATAAAATGAATAATTTGTTTTAATACTACATTAAAAGAAATAATAATTAATAGGGAAATGGTACTTTTAAGTTTAATGCATTGCTTTCATTTATTTATTATTTTCTTACCTGTCTGATTTCATAGATTTTTTAATTACAATAAGTGTCTTTTTTTATTTTATTCTGTATTTAAGATTTATTGAATTATCATATATCATATTACTATTCCCACATGGAAATGTATTCAGTCGAAAGAGGTGAATCGGAATTCTTTTTGAACTTAGGCACAAACAATATTCTTACAGTAGCAAACATTTAAAACAATTTTTTCTAAAAAAAACATTCACACTTGAAAATAGCCTTAAACTTCTTCAAGGGAATATTTTAATTTTTCAATCAAAATCATCCTGTTGTTTTAGATAAAAGAGTTTTTTTTTTACTTATTAAACAAATAATAATAATAAATAAGTGATTGATTTTCAAATCGCACTGGAAAATTGCAAATTTTTTTTTTAAATAAAGAAATCAGTATAGATTTTTTTCCTGCTCAGTCTGAAATAAAATAAAAAAATATTTTATTAAATTATGCAATCATCAACTGTCAAAATTTATTTATTTTATTTGGTAAGGTTAGGAAAAAAATTTTTCACACTTGATATAGTATAATTTTTTTATGAAATAACATCTTCAGTAATTTTTCTTTACATAACTAAAAAGATTTCGCGAACACACGCCATATTCAAAAGTGCAAATAAGTTATCGAAATGTGGAGAAAGAAACTGACAAAAAATGATATTTCTATTTTTTAAAATAAAATTTCCTATTACGCATTCACTACTTATTTAAGAACTGACAATTTCGTTTAAATTCTATTATTCTCTAAGCTTTAGCAAAGTTTTAAAGACGGCGTTTAGTGACTTTTTGCTTTCATTTCGAAAAAATAAAACGAATTCATTTTGATGGTACCTAGTTTTTTTTAAAATTCATTAATGTTTTTTCTTCATTTTCCTTTTAATTTTTCTTACCTAAATTCTTAGGATAACTTAACTTTAGAGTCTCATTAGCCGTCCTTCCTTTAAAAACTTCAAAAGAGTTCTTTAGTTTCCAATTCATTCCATTAATTTCCATATCTATCTATCTATCTATCTATCTATCTATCTATCTAACCTAATGTTATATATAAAGCCTTTTGCAATTAAAATATCTAATATATTCCTCTTCTATAAAAGATATGGATACAAATGAGAATAAGAACTTATTTAGAATTACAATTATTTCTGAAACATTTTTAACTTTTTACATTTTTAATAAATATTTTTTAAATAAATGAAACGGAAAATATGTTATTCGTAACATTCCCAAATTCGGCTCTGTTACATTTTTTTTTATTAGGAGTATGTGTGAAATAAATACTAGTCCGCTTAAGAAATCCTTGTTGGGATATCAAATGTTACTTGCCTTATAATACAAAAGAACTGCAGAATTTGTTTGGAACCTTCCTAAATATGGTACAAATATACACAAAAATTAAATTCTATTCTTAGATTCTGATGAATTTTGCACAGATTTTAATTATTTCTATAAGTTGTTCTATTCATATATCATATCTAAGAAAAAATTATTATTCTAAATTCTGACAAAATAATTTAGGCAACCACTTTATGCTTGTTTTTACTTGTGTGTGTTTGGTTGTGTGTATGTTTGGATATAACGACACGGCGTAAGTTCCCGTAATTCGCTGTTTAGATTATTATTATTATTATTATTATTATTATTATTAGCATTTCATTTGATATAAGTTGTATATTCGTTATCTTCCTGGTCGCTACCAGAGACCTAAGATCTGAAATGGCTTCATGATATTTTCCACTGATCATTTTTGTAAAAGAAAAAAAAAATCCAAAACAAAGATCTCACACATTTCACATAGATAACGCTGTTCTTTTCTTCTTTTCTTCTTCTTTTTCTTCTTTTTCTTCTTCTTCTTCTTCTTCTTCTTCTTCTTCTTCTTATTATTATTATTATTATTATTATTATTATTATTATTCGAAATTTGACACCTGCAATAACCCTGCAAGAGTTTTCAGTAAGGCTCTTGTTATTTTTTATACTCCACATTGTTATAATTTAGAATTTTCCTGGTTTGCTTTTTGATAAAATCCTTTATCAAGTCTTTTGTTTAAGAGATGAAGTGAAGGAAATTTGATTTTTTTTTAAGAATGCTATTAGACATCTTCGATTGAGATAAATTTTTGTTTAAGATCAATCATTTGTATATCAGATAGAGAGGGGTTCTTGATGTCTGCATCAGTATTCTTTTTCATTATTCTTAAAATTCCTCTTATTACTAGAATAATGGCTAAGGTCTTGCTATTTCTATTTTCAAGTCATTATTATCATTATTATTATTATTATTATTATTATTATTATTATTATTATTTCCTTTCATATCTGGCGTTTACACATTTCTTTCCGGGTCCCGCCCAGGGACCTAAGGTTAGAAATGGCATCATGACACTTTCACTGACAAAAAAAAAAAAAAAATATTACATAGATAAAGCCCTTCCTAAAGTGTGGGCTGTACTTGTCAGAATAATTTTTTTGTATCTCCTTGAGGCATGGACTTCCAGGAATCCCTTCGATTAGTCTACTGCAATCTTTTCCAGCCAGTCCTAGGGCTCCAACTACAACAGGGATTGTTGATGTTCCCATATGCCACATTTTTGAAATTTCTATTTCAAGGTCCTTGTATTTTGACAGCTTTTTAAACATCTTCAAAGATACATTGCAGTCATCAGGGACTGCCATATCAATAAGGAGGCACTTTTTTGTGGTCTTTAATAACAATATCTGGGCGGTTGGCTTTGATTGTTCTGTCAGTGTGTATTGTGTAGTCCCATAGAATTGTAACAGGTCCTATCCCCGTATATTATTATTATTATTATTATTATTATTATTATTATTATTATTATTATTGAGTGAGAGGACAGTACGTCAACAAATTAACGCTAGGCTACAAATATACGAAGTTCTAGTAAGGGTATATCAGATACACGCATCACAACCAAATGTGGGTGATATAGTTACAGGTTTTGATAAAAGCAACGCATTTCATATTAAGCTTGGTTAGAATTAGAAATTTCTTCAGACTATTTCAGCCTGCTTAGACGCTGTGTGATTTTTCTCATGTGCCTAGGCGTGACTTCCAAGTCACCTTGGTCGCCTGATCCTTCAGACTTAAAAAAATACACAACATTCTCGACATCCGACACTGATGCTTCCCTCACTACTCCCACCCATGAACAGAGATAAACAGTGTGATATTGCTTCATCGGTTACCCAACGCGTTATTCTCAGTCATCTATCTGACAAGCATACCTGTGATACTGAACGGGATATTTAATGTAACCCATTTTAATTCACGAAAACAAAACTTATACATGTTAACAGATCCAATCGATTAAATTCAAAAGGTATTAGTGGCATGCCTAATGCATCAGGGCATTTATTATTATTATTATTATTTTATTATTATTATTATTATTTTCTTTGATTTCTAGCGTTTACACATTTCTTTCCGGGTCCCGCCTAGGGACCTAACGTTAGAAATGGCATCATGACACTTTCCACTGACAAAAAAGAAAAAAAATACATAGATAGAACCCTTCGTAAAGTGTGGGCTCTACTTGTCAGAACAATTTTTTGTAACTCCTTGAGGCATGGACTTCCAGGAATCCCTTCAATTAGTCTACTGCAATCTTTTCCAACCAGTCCTAGGGCTACAACTACAACAGGGATTGTTGATGTTTCCCATGCTATTTCAAGGTCTATGTATTTTGACAGCTTTTTGAATATTTTCAAAGATACATTGCAGTCAGCATGGACTGCCATATCAATAAGGAGGCACTTTTTTTGTTTGTGGTCATTAATAACAATATCTGGGCGGTTGGCTTTGATTGTTCTGTCAGTGTGTATTGTGTAGTCCCGTAGAATTGTAACAGGTCCTATCTCCGTAATTATTATTATTAGTTTTAGTATTATTAAATTTGTATTGTGATGGTTTCAAAAACCGAATATAATTCTAATTGACTCTCTGTCAAATCTTAAGAACTGAGAAATAAATCACTTTCCAAAGGATATTTGCTTTGTGCGAAACATGATTGGGTGCTATTCCAATGCTATGAAGGTGTTTGTAGAGATTCTTTTGGAACCGACTCAAGGGATATCTTTTTTCGGTTGATAAATAATAAATTTTGCAAAATTCTTTATTATTATTATTATTATTATTATTATTATTAATAGTAGCAGTAGTAAGAGTGGTCGAAGTAGTAGAAATAATACTTGCGATCACTGGTATGTGAATATGTGCTCCAATTCAAATCTCCCCTAAATTATCTATCAATAAATTTACGATTTTCCTAAAAGCTATTTCTTGTCCGCTTTTTGAAATGCGCAAAACCTCTTTTTATATGTCATTTTTTTTCATCTTATGTTAGTTTAGTTTAGCGTTTCCCGAAATATCGATATCACGGCTATAATTGGTTTATTCTCTAATTAAACACAAATTATTAATGAAAATATATTATTTAATAACAAAGTTCGCATTTTTTCCCGATAACACTTACGCAGTGGGCATTAAATACAAACCGTTTTTTAAGTATATTTTTCTTGCTTTCAACAATACTTAACTTGTATTTTTTAAGTTGACAAAAGACTTCCTTCTAGCTGGTCAAAACCAAAGTGTTCAATAACCAGAAACGTTTCACGAGACAGCTAAGATTAATATTAAGTTTAAATGTTCAGTTGCTATTTCAACAAGTTAAGAATGAAAAACAAAAAAAAAAAAAAGACAAAAGAATTGTCCGTTTCTAATTTAACATCACTCTTTTTAAAAGTTCTCTGTCTAAAATGTCATGAAAGACGTGCTAGTTCTCGTGATGTGTCTTAATAAATCTACATCTAAAAGTTTATGAAAAGAATATTGCCAAAGGCACGTCATGATGACAAACAAGACTTTTAAATAAATCTTTACAATAATAACGGATGTTTAAGAATTTAGACCCTCCAGCATGAAGATGTACCCATATGTCGTTGGAAATGAAAGTATGCTTGTCGATCAAGGAAGCCTTTACTCCATGAAAAGAAAAAAAACTTGACATAATTTTCCTTTTTATTTCATTCGCCAATAAAAGAAACTGAACAAAAAAACAAAAAAAAAACAAAAAAAAAACCACTTTTTTTGTGTTAGCTTGTATATATCTCAAATGTTGACAGTGACCTTTTGGAAATGACCTGCGACTTAAATGTGTGTGGCATCAGTAAAACACCGGTCGTCATTGTGTGAATCCTAAATATAGTCTTAATTGAGATAAGAGTTACGCCCCTTGACAAACGTAGAGTAAATAGCACAGTAAACCTAAGGTCCGGGTTGGATTAAAGAAGAGCATTGAACACTTTTACTCTCCTCCTATTTCTCCTCTGGTTTTTGTTGATTTGTAAAACACAACAAGACCATTGGAGTTGGGTTGATCATCTAAAAATAGCTAATGATATACTGGTTGAAATGAACTGCTGAACCTTATTCAAATTTTACGTGACTCTTAATTTTCGGTCTCTCCTTACCCAGCACCTCTCTTTCCATCTATCCCACTCTATCTTCCTCTCTCGCTCACAATTTCTCTCACTCTCACACGCACACACACACATGTATATATTCACTTTCAACTTTTAGTTTTGCGAAATCTTTAGTTACTTTTATTTCTCTTTTTTTTTTAATTCCTTCTACCAATATTTCTTTTTTCTTTCTTTTTCTTTCTTTCTTTTTCTTTTTTCTTTCTTTCTTTAACATTTTCTTCATAGTTGTTCTCTTTCTATCAAATTTCTGATTTGATAAAGCAGTACATTTATATATGTTCTTTTCTCTTTCTTTTTCTTTCTTGTATTAACATTTTTCTTCAAAATTTTTATCTTTCAATTTCCTTCTTTGCCAAAAATTTAGGTTTGGTTATCTCACTTTTCTTTATTGTTCTTCCTTGCAGCATTTTCTTTCTTTTAAATTCTTTCTATTATTAACTTTTTCCTTCGAAGAATTGTTCTCTTTCATGCAGTTTTCTCTTTGACTATTGGAGTCGGATTGAAATTCTAAAATATATACTACTTAAAATGAACTGA